GAAAACGCCTAGCACACACCTCGGCATGGACGGCGGCCTCGTCACCGACTCGCCAAACTCTCAGAAGGTGCCCATTAGTCCGCAGGGTGCGCTGGGCAGGGCGCAGGGCCGCTTTCTTATTATTTAATAATGTTGGAAGTGCCGGTCCGCTGCCAGAGTTGTGGGTCATGTGGGCACAGCAGCGGCTGGCTGCTGCCAGTACCAGGGTTTCCTGAGGATCCTGAAACTATGATCTCATCCTCCTCCTCCGCCTCCCCCGCCCCTCTCCGCGGGCGCGCACGCACCGGCACACACACACACACACACACACACACACACACACGCACACGCGCACTCACACTGTATGCACTACCCTCCTTCCTCGGCCGAATATTCCTCCAGAGAAGCAGTGTTCACGCTCTTCATTGAAAAAAAAATCCCTCCGGGTATTTTTCTCTTTCAAAGCTTGATTTATGTGCTTTGTTTATTTTCCACGGTTTCCCCTCACACGTGCAAGGGATCAGAGCAGAGCCGCAGAATTAAAATGAAAAATAATCATTTTCTGATGTTGACCCAGATTTTGGTCAGAACCCAAGGACTCCAACAGCACAATTTCCATGTGAAGCAGAGGCAGTGATCTACCAGGCTTGACTATGGAGCAGTCATAACATCTGAGAGCACGCGATGGGTCTCTTCCCCCAGCTGCAAACATTACCTCATGTATTTGCAGAGCATCTTTGCAGAGGCGGCGGAGGGGAAGGCAACTAAGTAGTCACTTCAGAGACACAGAAGTGGAGGTCAGATAACATGACCTACCCCAGTGCACATAAGTCAATATCTCTCTATTAGTATTAATGGCACCACTGCTCACAGGCTGCTTGCTCACTATAACCAATTCTGGAAACTTAGGTTCTGGGAAATGATGAAGATATTCTTGACTTTTAAAAATTCCTAATATCTAAGGTTGCAAATTAATTAGATAATTAACTTCTCTATATGTGTTTTCATATAATTTTCCCTTGTATAAGTTGTACGTATCTCCAGTTTCATGTAATTTTTTCTTTTTTGGTGCAGGTGTTGTATCTGTGTATGCACTCATATTCATTTGTATTGTTTAACTTCTTAGTAATATCCAAGCAATGTTAGTCAATATTTTGGGGGTGGTGATCAATTTCCTAATGATTTGTATAATTCACTCAAACCCCCTTGAGGTGCCTGATGTATCTGAAAAGCTGTGCTGGATTTTGAAGGATATTGAGAAGTTTACTATTTGGAATCTGTCCTCCACTGGTGTACATCTAGTTGTTGAGACAATATATATATATATATATATATATATACTGAAAAGTGCACTGGTGAATGCTTTCTTATTTTTGTTATGAACTGTCACAAATTAAGTATAAGCTTCTCTCCTTTTCTTTTTGCCTATTTAACTTCTATTCCATGTTAAAAATCTTTCATTTGTCTGTGTGCCCCGTATTTCATCTGCCTTTGACCCCCATACCATCTCAAGGGCCAAGGTAATATGTGAACTTTGCCCTTCACCTACACATCCACCACAAGTCCTCACAAAGAGCACTCGCTGTGGCTTTTGTTCGGGTGTACAGAGGAAAATCCAGCAGTCTTCTACTTCTAATAATCCAAAGAGAAGAGAAGTGGTATGAGAGGGATAAAGGGCTAAGGAGAAGGCAGAGGAATGAGCAGTGAAAAGAGCTGGGGGAAGGGATGAATAAAGGAATTAAATTACAAGATGAGAGAGAGAAGAAGAGGGGGGAAAAAGAAGGAAAGAGGACCAGCTTTTCAGTAAAAGCTAAAATGTTCCAAAAGTTACTGCATGGAAAGCAAAATTAGGAAATCCTATAGTTTCACATTGTTATTAAATATTATCTTTTGACAAGCATACAGGACTTTAATGGCAAGGACACCAGGTGTCCATCCTGTGGAGACTACCCTGAATGATCTCAGCCTTAAAAATTCCAGCATAGGATCCGCTAGAAATAAACAGACTGACCTATTAATATAAGGTAACAATGAAAGTGACGATGAGATCAAAGAGCCGTGGTGTATACAATGTTTTAAGAATAAGTTACCACTGAAATTCAGGGAGATAAACGGGAAACCAAAAGCACAGGGATATTAAGGCAGGCAACAAAGAGTTAGGCAACAACAACAAAATAATAACATAATTTTAAAGTATTGCAGATTTTTCCAAGTGCTTTTTATATAGTCTTTATTGAGGCTGATAATAATGAAAGGTAGGTACCTGCCTGGGCTTCATTTTAAAGAAATATAACAATTCTTCCTAGTTTTCTACGTGTTGAATGGAGAAGTGAACATTTTCACTCATTGTTTTGGAAATATCATTTAAATTTTATGATCAATCAACCCTAAGGTTGTTGCTCAGTGTAGCCCCCTCCAATCCTTCTCATCAACAATACCAGTAAATGGATTCCTGGGCATAGATCGCAACAGTGATTTATAATCCAGGGTTTTACACAGGCTACTGGAGTTAAACTAGAAGTGTTAGCATGTAGCAGACGATAATGGCTTTGCAGTATCTCTGGGAGATTTCTGCAGAAGAGGTGGAGGCCCGAATTGAACAGCAATATATCAAGAGCACTTTCCCTTTGATCTGCATACTCATGGCAGGATTTGTTTTAATCAGAGGTATATTTAGGTTTGAGGATTATAGCATGTGTTTCAGAAATGCATTACAACTTCAGGGGCTCAACATGCACTAGCGGTTTGTATCAGAATACCTTCATTTAGAGAAAAATATTTTTAATATGGCTACATACATGAATTTATGGTTCATACTCATTTAGGCTATCTTTACCAAGGACAATAAATTACTGATGCTTACTATTTTGCTCTTATAGTTTCTTGATTTTTAAAATAGATTATAGTTCATGAGATGGCCATAGGTAAAAGCAGAAAGCTCACTATGTTATACGTGTGTATGTGTTTTATAAACATAGTGATATGTAAAGTATATATGTATTATAGGTCAAATAAGGATGATTACTATAACCTATGAGCTGCTAATAGTTTGGGGGCATGAGGTATTAAAAAATTTGGAGCATTTAAAAGACTTGAATGACAAGAGTAGAAAAGAAGATAGGTTCAAAAGGGTTGAAGAAGTAAAGACATCACTATTTTATCAATCAGAATTCCTTATATCCCTGGGTGTGCACCACTATTTCAGGGAAGGATGACATGGGGGCTCGAGGGACATGAAATATATATACAAATTCCGCTCGCTGGAGACACTGATTAGCCTTCAAGAAGGAAACGTTCATCAGCAGTTCAACACAAGACTCAAGATGATGGAGCCACTGAGCTGTGGCTCAGGGGACTCAGGGTTGGATTTTTTTGGGTGTGAGAGCTACCCAATTTTGAAGCTAAGGAGAGCAAAAAGAACCCTTTGCTGGCCTCTGACTTTTCCATATACACAGCCCTTTCAAACTCCTGGGCCTCAGACAGAACAGTCTTCTGACCTCCACTGAAATGAAGAAATTGTGTCCTAAGTATTCCTAAAACTTGAGGGGATGTAAATCTGTGTTTGTATTAAACACCAATGATGGATCACTTCGAGATATATCTATATATATAAAAGCCTAAGTGACCGCCGGCCAGTAGCTACAATGCACAATGACCACCAGGGGGCAGACGCTCAATGCAGGAGCTGCCCAGCGACAGCAACTTTGCAGAGTGCACTCTTGCACTCTGGGACCCCTGGGGGATGTCAGACTGCCGGTTTCGGCCGATCCCTGTAGGCCAGGTTGAGGGACCCCACTGGTGCACGAATCCATGCACTGGGCCTCTAGTCTTTATACAGTTAAAATTAGTATCCATTTTCCTGAGAAATGCATGGAGTCATAGCCCTGTCAGCAGTTAAGGAGTAATTAATTGCAAGTTCAGGAGAACAGAGGTTCTTCCTTGCAGCCCACCTACCTGCGCTCCCACCCTCTTCGCTAGAGGGAAGCCTCCTGCATGCAGGGCTGTGCCTTGTCATTCAGCTGCTCTGTCGGTGTCTCCGGTGCTCAGTCCAGTGTCTCCTCCGTAGACTTTCATGTCTCAGCAGGATCCTCAAGAGAAATGCTGTTTGCATTCTTCATGTTCTGGGACTGAAAGGGAGAACATAGCCTAAGAATGAGTGTAAGTGGTCAAGTGTATGTTGTTGTTTTTTAATCTCATGTTGGAATGTGCAAATCTGTTGCCAATTTAAATAGCTGTGATTCCACCTTGCAATAGCAATTCATTAAATACATATTCTGAAGGTTCACATCTCTCCATGACATCACACCTGGGTGCCCTTTATTCCTGGGAGCATTTATTTTTCTCAACGGACCATACACAAATGCTTCAGATGAAACTTCAGTGCAAATGTCACAGTGGAGATAGAAAAAAAAGCCAGCTGGAGAGTCCAGTGCTTATCATCTACTCACTTAGCTGCTCCAACTCTTTTAAGCCCATTTTTTTTTTTATTGTTTTAGGGCTGAATGTATTTGTTGTTGTTTTGCCTAAGAATACAGAATATCATGATGCATGGCACCAAAAATCCTACATAATAAAAGGCAAATATACAAACAGACCGAATGCAGAACTGAACCGATCGCTATGATGTACGCTGACCACCAGGAGGTGCATGGAACATGGTGGGCGTGGGCAGCAGGTGGCAGAGCACAGAACATGGCGGGTGTTGGCTGTGGTGGGATGGTGGAGCAGGTGAGCAGGAGCACCAGACCAAGGCGGGGCACCGGTCACTGTCATCAAGGTGAGCCTCTGGTGGTTACTGAAAATTCTTTGCTCCCATGCACCACGGTCCCGCCCAGTGCTCCCACCTGCTGCCGGTGCTGGCCCTGTTCACACCCGCTGCTGGCACCGGAGCCTCCGTTCGCACCCACTGCCAGCACCAGCCCCGCTCACACCCACAGTGGCATGAGTCCTGATCACTCAGCACCGTCAGTGGGTGTGAGCAGCAGCTGCCAGCCCCAACTGCTCCTGAGGACTTCTCCACCTCCCCCTGCTCCTGAGGGGTGATCGGGGCCAGCAGCTGCTGCTCGCACTTGCTGATGGTGCTGGCCCCAATCGCTCTGCGCTGTCAGTGTGTGGGAGCTGCAGCAGCCAGAGCGGGGCTGATGGCAGACAGGGAACCAGGACTGGGCCAGGCGGGGTTCCGGAGGATGGGCTGAGACCTGCCCCTGTGCCCACCACGGTCTCGTGGCCCACAGTTCCTTTCAAGATGCACAAATTTGTGCACTGGGCCCCTAGTATTGAATAAAT